TAACGCTTTTTGGTTGAGGCATTTAGGTATTAGTTTGTTCTGTCTGCATCTAAGGTTAAATCTAAGATGGTTCCTAGAATCTGCAATTTTCTTACCAATCCTCTCGAGGGCGCGCGTCAGCTGGAGGGAGTCTTTCCCAACATTGACCGCAAGATGCCGGAGTCTTCACGGAGACTTCAGAGTTGTCTACCGCTGACGAAGCTTCTGTGAGAGAAGCGAAACGTCCTTTTTTGTTTTTTGTTTTTTACCCACACGTACAGATGACGACTGACGGAACCCTTTCTACGATGGAACTTTCCTGTACGACTGAGAGCCTCCACAAGCATAAAGCTAATCGTTACTATATCCCCTATATCAGGGGTGCCCAAACTTTTTGGACCGAAGATCGACTTTTCGATCAACCAACCTCCCGCGATTGGCCCATTACCGCGCACGCACATACACGCACGCCATGATGAGCAACAGCCTGACACGGAGGCATGTGACCACTTTTGCAGCCTGTTAACTATCGTAGCTCACACGTACTGTTTTGAAGTGCTTCCCTCAGCCCTCTAGATTCCTATTCTTTGCCTGTGCCCTCGGTGAATTGTACACGAAACAAACTCTGAATGAGAATAATGATAATAAAAGATATAGCGCAACGGCTCTGTACTGTACAACTGTTATAGTATTGTATTCCACCACTGAGCACTGTTTGATACTTTGCACATTGTCTCACAGTTGTCATTGGGTGGTACCACCGCACAACGGTACCCTTACATTACGGAATATCTTTCCATACTTATTTGTCATGTCCTTGTTTATGATGATACTAGTGCAACGTGTTCTACCGGAAACAAATTCCTTGTGTGTTCTACATACTTGGCCAGGAAAGATGATTCTGATTCTGATTCTGATCACAAGCTGCAATTGCAGACTGCTGAGCGCTAACAACTTCCGGTGACGCAGGTCACGCGCCAACGTAAGTTAAAGATTTACCTGCTTTATTTTTTTAGATCTTTTTAATACTTTTTGTGAAAATGAGACTGATAGGGTGATCAGGGTGCAGTGTACATTAACACAAAAAAAATATTACAAACATGCAGAAAGACACACAAATGGTTGTTTGTTTGTTTTTTTTCTACTCTTCACACCTCGCGATCGACTTGGGACCAGTCCGCGATCGACCGGTCGATTGCGATCAACGTAATGGGCACCCCTGCCCTATATGAACTTTAGTGTAAAATATTAGAATGAAAGTATTTGTGAATGAGTTATATAATCCAGTAGAAGAGCTAAAATTATGAAACATGAGATATTATGTAACTTAAACTCTCAAAAATCTGAATGAAAACTGAGCTCTCTGGTGCAAAATAGTGAAAATGAACACAAAACCATCAGTGGTGCAATACATTACTATGACGGCTGTGCAGTTGGTGCAGATCATCGTTGTACCATTTTAAAGTGACCAGTAGCAGTAATTGTAGTACAACTGTAGGTGTGCAATTATGCAGAAAGTACTTGAGTGCTTTAAAGTGTCTGGTTCTGTGGAATATTGATCGACAATGACAAGTGCAGTAATACTGTCCCACAGGGGTGTGCAAAAATT